TCTCCACAACGGCGATAGATTGAAGCGCGCGTCTGAGAGAAGACTGCGCGAGCCACAGAGAGCACTGTATATCCATGACACTGATCGCAGCGGACACGACCGCTCAGCTTGATTTCAAAAACAACAGGTCTCTTATTTAATAGCGAACTAAATGAATGCTCTGCTAGTTAACTGGAGATACCCGCAAATTACGCGCCTATGAACGACTTCACTGCATCTAAACAAATCAATCTAACCATAGATGTTACCAGTAGCGGTGGCTTTTTAAATCTATTTAAAATATTTTCGCAAGGGTTCTATGAAATTAGTATATATTTTTAGGAAGTTCAATGTGCCCAGTCGAGTCAAGTAGACCTACTCCTTAAACCACATTTAGCATAATTGTTTGTTTGATCTGACTACAGCACTTTAACGCTAATGTAAAAGCTTTTTATTTAAGTTTTATTTTAAACTTGAATTAAATGTATTTAAAAGCTGGCCAAAGCTTGGCACTTTGCACTTTTTAGTTGCAAAAGTTTTTATTTTTGTATGAAGACATATAAAGTAATATCAAACTTTTCTTTTAAATTATGTCTAGGCTACTGCAATCAATCACATAGGAAAAAGTAAACTACATTTATATAGACCTGCGAATCGTTTATTGAATCGAGAATCGTTTTTGAATCGAAAATCGATTTTGAATCGAATCTCGAGACAAAAAATCGGTATCGAATCGTGACATTTTCTGAATCGTGCACCCCTAGTAATTGCGTCACTTCATATCGTTTCCATGGAAACAGGGGGAAATGGCTGCTCTTGTGTGAAGCAAACGCAACATTTTTCAACTTTCTGCTAAGATACATGTGACTTTTTTTTGCAACGAAAATGCAAGGATTATGAAATTATGCAAACCCCGCATATTTTGCACGGAAATCGGCAATTTATGCGGCGAAAGTGCGGCGTATTTGAAAAAATGCGGCCCCTGCATAAATATGCGGACTTTAACTGATTTTGCATTGAATTCAGCGATCGCATAATCGCGTTTTTCTGGAGGGACTGTCTATGAATATGCTCAGAGATTCACTCATTGACGAGATATTTACATGGTATTACATGATATTTTGTGCGATTTCAAACTGCATTTTTGGTTCACTGCAGTTTTAAAGAGGAAATATTGGTGCTGGTGAATTTAAGAATTTGCATATGGTTTGTGTTGAAGCATATTAAAAACACCACATAGACATATAAACAACATTAGAAGATTTTCACCACAGGGCGACTTTAAATCAATTGTGCTTACATTTGAATTTATATTTATTATGCTTTTAAGATCAGTGGAGGACTTGAGGTATTTTCAATTCAATGTTTCTTGACACTCAATGTGCAGCAAAGCAAGTGAAATATAGATTTCACTTTTAAATACCATATTTTTTTAATCGGTATGCCTCAAGTAACAGTATAGATAATTAGGTCATGGATATTACTGTGCCGTTGTGTCCCTCGTTGACTGCGCGAGACAGACATATCTGTAAAAAGTAAGCGAATATGGTTTGTAATGCTTTCTTCAAAGATTTCCACTAAACGTTTTACTATATCAGAGTCATCCGTAACAACCAGTGTAAAAATTCAGTTATTGACCACACTTTTAATGCTAATGGATTTTATTACAGTTGCACAGCCACATGTCCAATAAAGAGCAAGTTGGCAGGAAGTCACTTTAAAGAGGGCATTATGAAAGCTGCACTTAATAACAAACTCCTCTTCACTCAGCAGAAATTCTGAGATGCAGATCCACTTTCCCTCTTGATTATTCTTAATTGTTTCAATTAATCTCATTTCAGCCATTGTTCTCTTTCTTTCTTTATTTTTTGGCGTTAGTATAGGTGTTAGGCTGTTATTTGTAATCTGGTGCTTGACATGGCTTACGAAAAGCCACTCCAATGGCACAGCACACACATTTATATGAACTTAGTATCTCACCCTCAGTGTTTACCAAGAGATGGTGCCAGCAAACCATCGCAACTTTATAGTCTTGAGGTCTTGATCATAAAAAATTGGTGCTTATTCCTGTGTAACCAGAGTTCACCTTATCCAGGCCCACGTATAATTGGGGTGTGGGGCGGTGGACCAGAACCAGGGTTGGGAATCACTGTACTACAGCAAAGGTAGCGTTAGCCTAGTAACAGTAAGCTCCAGGTATATGACAAATTACCATGAGGCTTCCGGAGACAACAGGCCCTGTTGGCGTACTCCTGAGGGATCTTCGTACCTCACAGGATGACCCAGTTCCATCATGCTTTTCCTTCACCTTACTTCTCATCTTGCTTTTTTCCCACTTTCTTTCAGTCCTACATTTGCCCCAATGTTCATTTTGGCGTTCAGACTGCTACTTCAGTCACATTGTGTCCTCTGAGCCTTGTTCTTTAGCTCTTAAATGGCAACTGTTTACCTACCTCACGTCGATATCAAATCCCTATAAAGGGTTGCCACCAAAAACAAGCCATTCATCATCTGCATTTCCTTTGCTCACAGTGTAGCAAATCAGTTCCTGGAAGGAATTAAAAGGGTGTTGTGCCATAGACTGCATATGTTTAGAGTTCTTTGAACTCCTCCTCAAAAAAAAAAGTTGACTGCAATGCAGTAGTGCCAGCAAGCTGCATTAATATTAATGCCTGCCCATTTCCACCACTGTGGCAGGCAGCCTGTCAATCTAATGCCGCATCTGCTCATCACTCACAATGCCAGCACCTTATTGGAACCAGTTTCCATTGGTGAGTCCATCACCAATTCTTGTCTTGCCCCAGGATGCATCTATTGTTGTACGACTTAATGCACTCAAGAGGTTGATGCACTCAAAACCTTGGTTTTCCTTACTTTCCTCACTGTGCCGACAATCAAATTGACTTGAACTTATGCACAAGATGATCAGCAGCCAGTAACGTAAGTAGCTTGTCCACAGACTCCAACCCACCATGAGCATTGCAGGTGTAAAGATGTTTCTGGGCTGTGTGTATGTGCATGCTGTGTACACTGCAGTACAGCTGCTTTGCTGCACAACGCTCCAAATGTGTACTGAGCTGATGCTCTCTCTCTCCGCACTACCTAAGAAACTAGATACCAGCTTTGGATTTACCAGAATTCACCCTGCAGCAAAAATCAGCACTCCAGAGGCTTCCACAAATCCACCTCAGCTCTGAAATTACATTCATCAATCTCTTTTTTTCTTTCATTTCTCTCTTTTCAAGAAGCCTCTTCACTAATTTTTGCTCATGACATCCCACCAATGACACCTTAAGAACAACCTTAACATTTGAGAATACTAACCCTGCATTTGTTCTTGAGTACCGTGAATAACTAGCAGTGGTGGAGGAAGTACTGAATCTCAGTACTTAAGTAAAAGTACAAATAACCAGATAAATATTTACTTTAGTAAAAGTAGAAGTAACACAATGACAACCAGACTTAAGTAAAAAGTAAAAAGTACCTGATTTTAAATGTACTTTAAGTATTAAAAGTAAAAGTACTTGCATAACAATTTAGTCTCTTAATGTCTATTTCTAATGATTAATAAAACATTTAATTCTAACTCATTCAAACTAATACTCCTATAATGATGTTCAATAATTATGGAAATTTTTTTTTCACCATTTCTAAAACAAGCTTGCAATATACACATCATGCTTATCCTTACTATATGTTAATAACTATGTTTGGCAGTAAACACAATTAATTTATGGTGTAATTCTGAACCTCTTGGCTTGCCATGGTTTGCCTAACCAAACGTATTTTACACACGGTGCGTTTCCTATGCACTTTAAAACAATTTTTAGCGTATAAATTGCACGATAAACACAGTGTGCGTGACGCATTTAGTGTGACCGGGTTGATAAATTCATGGCAACCAAACGTCACTGGTGAGACAAACGTGCAATGAACAGATGGTCAGATTACATTTTGGCAGGGGAAAAAATGTAATGAAAATGTAACAGAAGTTGTAGAAATGTATAATAATTGCTGCAAAATGTAACAAAGTAAAAGTAAAAAGTATGCACTATTTATTCTACCTAAGTAAAGTAAAGATACGTGAAAAATGTACTTAAGTAAAGTAAAGTATTTGTACTTTGTTACATTCCACCACTGATAACTAGATGAGCAATGCATAAAGTGATTCGCAATTTCCTTGATTTGTGAGTCTTTCAGAGGTTTGATAGGGTTGGATGGATGGCATGACCTCTATAGTGGCTGTTTTATCTGTTTTACATGTTTGCTTCCTTTTTACATATGTATTTACTAGGGATGTAGCTATTCAAGTACTGGACAGATAAATCAGACATTATTTGGCACATTGATCAATGTACTTGATGTACTGTATTTTTATCGATTTTTACTAGACATTTTTTAGATGTTCAACTATTAAATAGCTTACCTTGACCAAATGTTATTAAGTTGAAAATCACTCAATTGCTTTCGTGATGGATCCATTACTGTAACTTCCAAGTATGTTTGTTTCTACTATATACCAATTACAAGAAAATTATATTCTTCCTCATAATAATCATTGCACTATTACCCCTCATTACCCTTTAGTTGTTTATTACTGCAACCCATTACTTGCTCCTTCCTCTCTTCTCGCACGGTCATCATTCTGCCTGTATTCCAGCTAATCTGTGGTTTTCATAGATCCTCTACACTCATTTTCAACGTTTTTTTGACGTTGAACGCTAGTTTCTCCAGGACAGGCAACTATCTTATTGCTGGTGCTGAATCAATTCTTTTACCGCTTTCTATTTTCACCTCTGCGTTATGGATGCTGTGTTCTTACCTGCTGATCTGAAAAGCTGGTAGAAAACGTTTTTTCCTTCCCTGTTGATTTGTGGTATGCTTTCAGTTTTTATTGTTATGGGTTATGTTTCTGACTTCAGTTGAAACTACATGGACAGAAGCCATCGCACTAATTACATGTTTATTAGTTAATCTTTTCAAATGCTAAGATTTGTACTCTCATCTTTGTTTTGCAGTGCTATGCGGGTGCTGCTGTCCAAATTGCCACGGCCATGGATAGTGGATGAGAAAAAGGATGATGGTTACACTGCGCTTCACCTGGCCGCCCTCAACAACCACGTGGAGGTGGCAGAGCTTCTAGTCCACCAGGTCAGCAGTTCTGACATGCACACGCACACATTGCACTATCCGAAGGGACCCATCCTGGAGACCCTGTACTGTATCCTGCAGATTATGATTCAGGGGGATAATTGATGCAGTTAATGCCATTAGAGGTGCAGAAGAGCTGAGAAAGTTCAGTTGTTACCCAGCTCTCATTGAAGTAGGTCAGTCATAATTAGGGATGCACCGATCACGATTTTTCATGGCCGAATCAGATTGCCTTTTTTTTATAAGCAAATGGGCCGATTCTAATACAGGTTGCCCCCATTTTTATTTTTGCTGTATTACAGCCTTAACTGGTCATAAACAAAATAATATCTGTAAACATTTCAAATTAGAAGCAGCCACTGCATTTTAACCATGATCCAAACAAAGATGCTATACACATGCAGCATAACCAGTTGTTTTTTTAATTATTGTATAATTTGTGATGATGAAAGTTCCTCAAGTTTTTAAAGTTGTTTATATGTCCATGTGGTGTTTTAGTATGTTTTAAGACAAACCATGTGCAAAGTCATAAGTCAACACTAGGGGTGTAAATCGGAGCCTTAATGACGATTCGATAGAATACCGATTTCTTAGACCAAAGATTTGATTATTTTTGATACTTCAGAATTTCCCACGATTCGATTCGATACTAGATATTTTTACATGATATCTATTAAGTTTCAAATAAATCAACAAAAAAAAAAAAAAAAAATTAGCCTTTTATTGAGAATAAAGAAACAGTATTTGTGGTGAGCAGGACGCGGCCGACATGAGAGAATAGCGCGAGCCATTTACACCACCGCCCTTGTGTCGTTCTCTCACGTCGGCCGCGTCCTGCTCGCCACAGTATTCTATTCACATAATGTGTATGCTACACTATAGCAGTCTTCTTTGCAAACGGCAACATCTCTTACCACTGATCCATCAGTTTTCCTGAAGCCACAATACTTCCACACCGATGACTTGATGCCGACTGGAGTGTGTAACATTTCACTTTCATTGCCAGCTCGCTCTGACGGTTCCATCGCTCTTGAAAGTCAGACTCAACAATGTGAATGTGTGTAAACATTAGGGCTGGGTAATAAATATCCATTTCTCGTTATTAATCGATTCTCATTTTTACGAACCGTTATCGATTCTCAAGAATCGATTAGTCATCCTGTTTCATTTGAATGAATGAGACATTGTATCGCGGCTGCGCGCATCCAAAAAATCGCAATAATCTTTGTCCTTTGTTACCATTGATATAAAACAAAGTCTCAATTTTCAAATTACGTCCATTTTCTTTAGAAATTCAAACACATAAATGACGTTTTGGCGCTGTGGCGTGAGATCGCTCTGGCGGAGCTCAAGAGGAGCAGCAGCGCTGATCTCACTTCCGGCTTAATAATACCAGTTACAGCGCGAAATAAACATGAATGAGCATCAGAAAGTGTGTTAAAAGATAGAGTATAACTTATCGAAATCCGTTTGTCACATTGATTCGCTCAATCAGCGTTTCAACCATGGAAAGATGTCACTTAAACAGCTTGTAATCAATGTCAATGTATATTACGTAATGTATATACAATGTAATGTATATTACGACGTTATGATGAACTTTGTCTGAGTTGTTCAAAGTGTTTCTAAGGATACTGATTTTTAGAAGGCAGACTGAGATTGCGAACAGGAACGTGTAAAATTAACAACGCATTATTAGCTGTTTGATAACATAGTCAAGGAAAAGGCTAATCGTATTAATTACCGTTATGTGTCTGACGTCGTAAAGAGCGATAACATTGGGCAGCCTTTACTACAGTAAAGTTGACCGAGTGAATCTCTGAGCTGGAGATCCGGGTATACTAAAGGAACCAAGGGTGTAGTGTTACATTGTAGCTATTTTACAGCATGAAGAAATTCTTTTCACAAGAGTTGTTTTTTAAATATGTCATTTTGGTGATCAAATATGAGTTTTAAGGGATAGAATTATTGACTACAGGGGGACTTTAAAGCAAAATCAGTATGGTCTGACTTTAGCTTTGTGCAATTATGCTACATAAAACATACCTGCTCACTGAAAAAGTAAATTCACTCTCTGACAGAAGGTTGCGCTTACGCCGCCTTCACACTGGCAGTTGAAATCAGCTCCGATGCGGCTGCGAAACGACCGGAAGTCATTCATTTCCTATGGAGATTCGCAGACCGCATGCGAGTGGGTCCGAAACGGGTCCGACCGAGTGCGGTGCGAAGAAAATCGTGTCCGTTGGTCATCCGGATGCGTTCAAAAATTTGAACTCGTGCGAAAAGCAACGGACGGTTCCTATCCGACAATTCCAGCGGAAGTTGAGCGTTGCTATGGTACTGATACACAAACCTGAATTATTAACTTTTAATAAAATAAATAATGATTTTATAACGATAAGTTGTCATGTCATTTTATAATTTTATGACTTTCTAACGTTTATAAGGGCAGTTAATACAATTAAATTGAAGGTAGACATTGAACTATTGACCACTATATCACATTTTTATTCGACCTGACATGTCAACGTCCTGAGCAACTTTCCTCACGCAGCATAACCCTCATCAGAGAGATCATACAGAACTGACACAATCAAACTTTAATCTCTCCGCAGTTTTTGTTCTACCCGCGTCCGACGCTTTTCACTGTGTGGTACGACGTCCGTTGGGAACGTATTGCGTATTACGGAGCTGATTTAAACTGCCAGTGTGAAGGCGGCGTTAGAGTTACCGCGGTAAACGAAAGCAGCAGCACTTATAAACACTTCTTTAATGGGCAATGGCATTACACAGAATTTTCCTGAAGCCAGTAGTTCAGAAGACAGGTATTATTCATATAAACCTCCTCCCCCAATTCAATATTTATATTTTTCTTTCCAATTTTCCAATTTTGAGCAGCACAAACTTGCTGGTGCAGTATCTGTGCTCTCCTCTCCTCTTTGCATCGGTCTTCAGCGTATCCCATCTCTGGCCTGTTAACGTCCCGTTACAGACCTCGTACTACTTCCACACAAATGACATTTTGGCCTTTTATTGCAATGCAGTTTGTGTCTGAAATTGAGATCGGCCAATTGAGAAGCCATTTGCCGATCATGTTTGTTACAAAGACCGTCCGGCTCTGATTTATGGCTGGTCGACCAGTGCACCTCTTGTCATAATGACTCTTAAAAAACAGAAGTTATGATACTCTTTTTGAGGTATGTCCGAGTAAAACAGCATCTCGAAAAAGAAAAAAAAAATGTAGGCTTGGACTTGATTTTGTCCAACGGAAATGGATTGTTGGATCGTTGCCATTTCCATTAGCTATGATCTCATGCGAGTGGCTGGTTTCCCTTTAAAACCGTTTCAAATCTTTGCAAGCTCAGATTCATCAGATGTAATTATGAAGTTATTAATGACAAAAAATGAATGCTAATTAAATTCTTGAATTGAAGAACACTGGTCTCCAGTTGACCTGTCCCTAAACTTGCAGGATTCTCCAGGTTTCTCCATAGCTCCTCACCTCCTACGCCACAGTGCAGAGTGAAACTGTGGCTCAGTGTTGTGTTAACAACGTTATTGCAACATTCCAGCAGTGTTATGAGACTGCTGTGCTGGCTCAGTGCAGCCCTTTGTCAACTACCTGCCATGAGGGAAGAGAGGGAGAGACAAAGAAAAGGTTCACACCAGTGACTTAAGCCTCAGCCTGCGAACCACACTGCACTGCAGTAATGCAGAGAGATGCTGCTATGGGGGTTCAGTCAGAGAATATCTGAATACAAATCACCATTAGCTCACATTTCTAAACACAACCTATGGGACTCGAAGGCTTGCTCATGAGGAGCGATTTGTCTTCAGTGGATGAGAAGTGAAACGGAAACTGACTGTTATTGAACATTGGAAAAACAGTGGAATGTAAATAATCAAATACACACAATCACTTTGTTTTGCTCTTATCTTCTAGCATCTATATAAATGCTTATATCATAGTTGTTCAAGTTATATTTCTCAGAGGTCAACCGATTGATTTGCTCTTTCTCTCTCCATAGGGAAATGCTAATTTGGACGTACAGAACGTTAACCAGCAGACGGCATTGCACCTTGCGGTCGAGCGTCAGCACACCCAGATAGTGCGAGTAAGTGGCTCTGTCTTCCTCCTGTTCTGTTCTCTTCATTCCCCTTCAATGTTTGATGTCTACACCCCTCACCCAGCGATCTGGCGTCCCACTCAACACAAACGCATTGATGAAGCAATGTAGCTAAGTGCCCCGGGTTAAGATTTAAATGCAGGGAGTTCTGCTGCAGATTTATCCCCTTCATTTAGTCCTGAGCAATCTGGACTACGCCAGGAGAGGTATGAGGAGCGGGGGTGGTGAAGGAGGAATCAATAGAATCGAAAGCGCCATCGTGTGGTCGTATAAGAGCAGTGCAACTCTCCTCTTTTCAAAACGTCTGTCTCAAAACGTCTCAAACATTACACTTTTTCAATTTGAAGCCTTTGTTTTTGACACCTGTGCCTCCGATGTCATTCGTCAGCATCGATTAACATGAGCATAATTTAAATCTACTATGACTGAGAACACACTGGTAACATTTAGTCTCGGTGTTTGTGTCCAGCTCTTGGTGCGAGCCGAGGCGAAGTTAGACGTGCAAGACAAGGACGGAGACACGCCGCTGCACGAGGCCCTGCGTCACCACACTCTGTCCCAGCTGCGACAACTTCAGGACATGCAGGACGTCAGCAAAGTGGAACCCTGGGAGCCTTCCAAAAACACAGTATGTACATAGAACTATATAAACTATGCAGGTGTTCTCATTAAAAGCTTCAGATTAACAGAACGTGATGTAGCACACATTTTCAGTTGTTTTGAATTGATCCACAATAAATAATTGGAATTTTAAATGAATTATGTTAATTAAATCATACACATTTTAAAGATTTCTTATATTGGGCCATATAAGAATTAAAAAAATTATCTGTTCCATTTCAAAATGTAATAGTTAAATTCAATTTTAGTCATCAAAAAGCAGGTTGAATTAATTGCAATGATAGACATTTTTACACTTAATTTTCACAAAAATTATATTTTTAGGGCCCTATGATGTGCAGAACATACAGACTTCATATTTAAACAGCAGGGTTTTTTTACACTTCAATATTCATACACACTAGTCCATATCATGATTAGATTAAGTATACAGATATAGCATTATATTTTTTCATTATAGGCATTCTGGCAATATACTTTTAATTCCAGTTTTATGATTGGATTTTGCAAATCTGTAATCATTTTCTGCATGGCTAAAATCATGCATCTCAGAGGCTTATAAAACACAAATGTGCACTTTACCAATGTGGTGCCTGTGCAAATTCACACAGGGGCCTTCAGATATGTTTAATAGTCAAGGACAAAATGAACAATTGTAGCATCTTAAAAAAAAAAAAAAAACAGCACCATAGACCATCAAACACAATTTACTTGGTCATGCAAGTATGACCAGAGGTACCATATCCAAAATCACCTTAAACCACAATTTACAAATGTGGAAAGCTATTTTCACACCATCCAAACTAACTGAATGCTTACATCAAGACTCGGGTCTCAGTACTAAACACTGAGGCAGTGTAGATTCTCTCAGGCTTTTCCCTGTGTTAACAATGATAGATCGCACTCTGCTATAAGAACCATTTCCCTGCTGTCACATGAGTTACTGGCCCAATGAGCCACAGTTCCACTGCAGTCCGACGTCCTGTACACCACACGATCCTTCAGGTGAGACGTTCTCCCCTGATTATCCCTTCCCCTTCTGTGGGATTGCATATATTTGTGTGAAATTGAGTGGGTGGAGAGGAAGCCGAAAGAAGACAGCTTTAGGAGACAGCACTCTCTGTAATACGTTGGCATAACGATGGCAATCTAATTACCAAGCCAATGGGCTCTATCAGGGCCGATTTAAAATGCAATGAATACTGTGGTTTCAGGTAAATTGTCCTAAATGTGACAGTATAAAGAGTAAGCACTTCATCCAGACCATCAGTGAGCGAAACCTACCATGTCTTGACATGATGTCACACTGTCAGCTGACAACTCATTACAGCTTTCCTGCTCATGCAGTTATATTTAATGGTGTGCAGGTTTTGATACACTGCCCTAAATGGGGTAGTTCATCTGTAAATGAAAATTGTCAGTTAC